CAATTGTTGATATGATATCCTCTCCGGAATAAACAATGACCCATCCGGACGATCTTTAAATAAAACAAATTCACTTAACCTTTCTGTCGCAAAATGCCAGTACAAATTAACAAAATATGGACCGGAAAATGCCATTAATACCTGTTGCAAAAAGACACTTTCAATTCTTCACAATTACAACAACACATGGTGTCTAATATCTAATCCAACACCAAAAAAATTCAATTATTTCGGATAAATTTGAAAGCCCCAATTCTAACCCTAATTTCGAAAACCCTAAGCCCAACAACAACCAACAAATACACAATTAACAATTTATAACAAAATTCCAATCTCCAATTCAACATATACACATATTCGATAAACAATTAACAATTCTTAATGTCCAAAACAACACCACATTCAAACATATTATAACAATTCCAATTTTCCAAACAACTCCAAACAATGTAAAAAGTTAAGATAAATCAATATACCTTGTGCGAGTGAATTAACCGGAATTGAGACTCGTGTCGTTGTTGTCGATTTGGTTCGGTTCGGGTAGGATTGGATCGTGTTTTCTTTTTTCCACCGGAAATGAAAGTCGCTCGCAGAAGTTCGCCCAGAACCAGAAACGAGATGCGCAAATGAGGGAGAAGAGAGATTTTTTTTTTATATTTTATATTAAAACGTATTTTCAGAATACGTTTTACTATGAATTATTTGTAAAACGTATTCGTGTAATACGTTTTTAGTTTTTAATTTTTTTATTGGTAAATTCAAATTTATAAACGTATTTCGAAAATACGTTTTATAGTTACTATTTTTAATTCTTTTCCACTATTAAACGGAAATGTATTTTTTTTTTAATTTTTAAAAAATATTAGTAAAACGTATTACGAGAATACGTTTTTCTAATAAATTTTTATTAGAAAAACGTATTCTAAGAATACGTGCTTTTGATTTTTTTCCACTTCTTTTTTTTTTTTTTGTTTTTGTCCACATATTTTTTTTTGTTTTGTAATAAATAAATCACCCCACAAATAACAGGATGTAAATTTTTATTTTATTATTACGAAAAGTTGCTAATGATTTATAGATTTATTATTATAAAGTTGAACTTTTATTCAAATTTTGTCTGACATATACTTTCTGATGAATAAATTCTCTAGAAATTGCTTTAAAAAGGACTTAAGAAATAAGTGCTTCACCCAATTATGTGTATTAAGTTTAACTCCCAGATATCAACAAATGTACTCAAGTTAACCAACGCTATTTGTATCTTTCAAGCAAAAAATAATATCGTGGATGTCTTTCTCTTGAAAATCTGTACAAAGGACAACTTATTCTCCAAGTAGAAAAAGATTACACTCTTAAAATCACTCTTTCAGGTCATAAATATAATTTTTTCCTCATGAGAAATATGAAATTCCATTTCATATGTCTATAGCTAACTTTGAAAATTAATTGACCGGCTTTTTTCAAGTTAGCTACAACTTCATACTATTTTCCTTCGTATACTAAAATTAATTGGAGAGTTTCACAACTTAAAGTCTCCCATTAGAGGTTAGTTAACATGTCACATGTCATTTTTGCCTATCAAGTGGAACGAGATGAGGAAATTATGCACTTATAAAATGTCAAATTCCAAATGTCCAATGTGGTTACGAAGTTTCCTTCGTTAGTTGAATATGAATAATCTTGAATATACATACAATTTCCTTCATATTTGTTGAAATAATATGTACATTGACCCACCTAAAAGTTAGATAAATAAAAGTATGACATTTCATAGAATAAACGTGCATTTTATTATAAATGTAGGATCGATCGATCAGTCTAACAAAAATATGACATTTCATTACATGAATACACAATTTTACTACATGTTTGATCGACTGGTCTAACAATTCCACTAATCATAATTTTTGCATGGAATATCGCGTGAGGTCCAATCCATCAACAATCAACAATGAACTCTCGATCCAACCTCCACGTACCCTAATTGTTTGTTAGTCACTTTCATCATTCGAAGAAATATTCAAACTTTTATACCCACATCATTTAATTTTAGTTAATTTCATAGGAAAATTTATAACTATCTATATAATATTTACTCTATATATAGCACCATGCACAAAATCATGAAACCAGAAAACCCCAAATCACATACACGCACACAAAAAAAAGGAAAAAAAAAATAAAGAAACAAAACCTAATTAACACCCAATTAACAATCAAAAATGGCTTCTTCACAAAAAATGCCATTGATTCTCATCCTCACTTGCTCCCTCCTTCTCCAAGGAGCTCTAGGTGTGACTTGCACCATTGTATATCCTATATCATCATATTAAACCATTTTTCTTTTTCGAATTTCAATTAATCGATCTATATTATCTTATTATTTTTTTTTCCGAATTTTAATTGACCAGTCAGCTAATTTTCGAATCGTGTAGGTGAGGTGATATGCGACAGCCTCCCGGCCGACCTTTGCTCATTCGCAGTTGCATCGTCCGGAAAAAGATGCACCCTCGAGACCTACTTGAGTGTGGGCGGGAGCACGGGCTACACATGCACCTCATCGGAAGTGGTGGTCGAGCGATTTTACGGGCACATCGAAAGCGACGAGTGCGTGGCCGCATGTGGAGTCGATCGATGGTCAGTCGGGATTTCGTCAGACGCGTTTCTCGCTGGAGATTTCGCCGGCCGGTTATGCTCGCCGACGTGCTACCAAAGTTGCCCCAACATCGTCGACCTCTACTTCAACCTTGCAGCCGGCGAAGGTAAAAACCGGATTTTTTTTGCAATAAATATGGGCACGTTAATTGATTTTACTTATTTTTTTATTTGGATAATTAATTAACATTATGAAATTTTCCGCCACTTTTAGGGGCGCAAATTTTACAGTAAAAAAATCAACCAAAACTCAAATTTAACTCAACTTAACTCAACACTATCTCCAATATTATCAATATAATCAAATAATATCAAGCAATTATTCTTACACATCAAATCAACTTTAATTTACTATTCATCTACTCACATAATTTTAACTAACTATCACTTCCGATCATTTTCTCCTACTTTTACATCAAATCAACTTTAATTATTTTATTTTAAATATTATTTTAATATATCCACTAACAACTAACCAAGCCACCTTTTTTCAAACTTAACTATAGTTAAAAAATAACCAATTTTTTACTAGTTGAATTCATATCCAATCACCCCCTTAATGATTCCGTTACATTTATTTGATTTTTTTTCTTGATACAAAAAATTAAAAAAGTATAAAAAAACTCAATAAGTGCAATTTGCTCTCTTTTGATTTTATTTTGTTATTGTATTACTTTCTTGCTTGATGAGTTTTCAAATTTCAGCAAAATTTTGATCATAGATGTAGCTCATAATTCACTAATTAAACTAGTGGTAATATTTTGGACTCTTTATGATTTTAGGGAGATTATTAATGATATTTTGAAAATTATTTGTCCAGGCGTACATTTACCGACCTTGTGTAAAAGGCAAAAGTCGAACCCCCGTCGAGCGATGTGGGAGCCTTTTAGCAGTGGTGGCGGTGTGGCCCTTAGTCCGGTGGGCTCGGCCGATTACATTATTGGTGCACCTGCTTCGGCGCCATTCGCTTACTAATTTATTTTATCCAATATTATGTGTGTGAGGTGTTACGTTCAATATTCATTTTGAGTTATAATAGAGATTAATGGGATTATTTTGTTTTTTGTTTTGTTTTGTTTTGTTTTTTTTTTTATTGGGGTTTGATTTCATATATTTGTGTGATTTTTTTGTTGATATACACATCCATTTTATGATGAATAAATCGGTTTGTTTCTATTTGTTGGGTACTCAAATTGATTTGATTACTTTTGTTCTTTCATCGACTTAAAAAACGATCATGAATATGAACGAATAAATCATAAATAAGATGATACTAGAAAGATTTGAATGAAAATGTACAAACTATACTAGAACCAAAAGTTGACGATTGAAGTAGCTAACAAGTTGAATTGTTAATTTGGATCACATGTTCAATCGTTGAATTAGAATTGTTGATTATGATTGCAATTTCTAACCAAAATCAAAATTAAAAATTATTCTGTCATATTCTTAGTATTTTTTTTTTTTTACTTAGGATTACAAATTGAAATTCATTTGAACCATCGATTTTGAACTGAGAGCTATTCATATATAAATAAAAAATCAAAATTTGAATTTGAATTTTAAGATTGACCGACGAGATCGATTGGAAATAGTATATTGGTTTCAAAATCGCAACTACATATACTTACAGACCCAATTGGGTTGGTTATGCAACCCTAAAGCCTGTTATGAGTGGTATATATGGCCCAAATTACAAGGACCGACCCAAAGTATTACTGGGCCAAAGAACGGCACCATTAGCCCATCACGACTCTAAAAACGCTTTTAATGTGATCTATGTTTTATTCACGCGTCAGCAATTTCAGTCCAACTGTCCAAAACAGAGATTTCAGATTAGTATAAAAACAAAAATAGAAAAACAAAAGAAATATTTGACAATTGAATGGCAAATGACTGTCACTCAGCTGACGCCTACGGCGACGGCGGCGTCGCCACCGCCGGAGAAAGCTTCGCGGCGGTTCCCGGAGACAGCGTCGGCCGAGAGAGCAAGCAACCGATCGACCGAGTCAAAGGACCGTGGTCGCGGGACGAGGACGAAATGCTGAGCCGACTCGTGAGTAGCTTCGGTGCCCGCAATTGGAGCCTCATAGCGCGAGGAATCCCCGGACGATCTGGAAAATCGTGCCGCCTCCGGTGGTGTAATCAGCTTGATCCCGCCGTTGAGCGGAAACCCTTTACTGGTAATTACAGCTTAACCTAATTTGGTCGCTGGTTGTGAAGTTTTTATGAATGCCCTTTTTCTTGTTACTTTTCTGTTTCGTGCGTCTTTTTCTCAATTGGGTGAAAAATGATGAAAACTTAAATTTGTAAAGCTAAATGGCTACGTGGATTCAATTGAAAGCTTTTGCAGTTTAGCAATGGGGGCATGTGGCTATAAATTGTGTTGACTATTGAAACCTGAAATAGGAATGGGAAAATTCAATTCATAACATAAAAACAGGCTGCAAGCCTGCATTTCTTCAAGGTTTTTAAGCCTTTTAATTGTGTTGTTTTCTGTGAAAGTTGGTGTAAATTACACCTGTTGAAAGCTGTAATCTTGCTTCTCCATTGCTGTTTGTTTTACCTTCTGCTACAAGCGAAATATAGGTTCTCTAAATTACTTTAAAGTTGCTGTTTTACCTGGCAGTTGTAAGCTGAAAACGATTCCAATTTCTCTGCCGGAAAAATCTCTTTGGCATATTAACTCTGAAAAAATGTACTAATTATCATGATATATGGACTATATTTGTTTTAAGTAGTAGTTTCCTATCTGCAAATTTTGTAAGTGGTTTTACCAGTTTTGTGATAAGTTTGATCATGAACGAAATCAATTGACTAGTGGCTACCCTGCCCCCTAATTCTCTTGCTCTTTGGGTTTTCACTCTTTCAGCGAGTGTCTTACCCAATAAGCTCGAAGTAATTTGTTACCACCGATTGCTAAGCCTTTTTTGTGATTTAGAAACCAGCCCAGAAGGTAAAATAGTAGAATATAACATTTCGTACTCGGTTTGTACTTGTTAGTACTAATTTAGCTTTTCAGCTTTACCGAATACCTTTTTGTACTCGGTTTGTACTTGTTAGTAATCATTTAGTTTTTCAGCTTTACCGATAAACTTTTCGTACTCGGTTTGTACTTGTTAGCACTAATTTAGTATTTCAGCTTTACCGAATAATTTAGTCGTGTATTTCTTCTTGTTTTAGTTTTTACCAATTATATTTAGGGTCGGCAAAGAAAAAAGGCTCGATTGTAATCTTAATGGCTTATTGCTATTCATTCTTGCAGATGAAGAAGAACGCATCATACTTCAAGCTCACACTATCCACGGTAATAAGTGGGCTTCGATAGCAAAGCTATTGCCTGGGAGAACAGACAATGCCATAAAAAACCATTGGAACTCTTCATTGAGACGTAGGGGAATGAACCCTAGGAAGTCCAAGTCAAAAATCAATAATCTTTCGGGCGAGAAAAGTGTCGAAAAATCAAAAGCATCGTCGGAAGAAACACCGTCTTGTGGGGATGCAAACTCTTTCAAGTCCAGTGAAGTAAAGGACATCACCTCTTTCGAACGAGCAGATGGTAATAAAAATCATCAAGCAAAATCCACACTTTTACGTCCGGTTGCTCGGGTCAGTGCCTTTACCATTTATAATCAAATGGATACAGATTTAGCAGAAAATAATATAAACCCATCTCCTAAAACGGTTCCTTTAGAAGCCCCATTTGTCCAAAACTCGAGCCCGGATATGGGAATTCGTAAATTGCTCGAAGGAAGCTACAATAATGACCTAATTGTCCCTTACCGATGTGGCCATGGCTGCTGTGAAAATTTCACGGAGGCCAATTCATTGCTCGGGCGTGAATTTGTCGACTACACAGAACCTCCGTTTTTCACGAGCCATGAGCTGGCTGCATTAGCAGCTGACATAAGCAATGTTGCCTGGTCTAAAAGCGGATTAGGAAGCAGCAGCAGCATTAAAGCAATGAACAATGAGGTTTGTGGGTTTTCGTGTGATGATGGAAATCAGCAAACGAGACACTTGGAGGACAGTGGAGAGAATGATCACTCATCCAGCTTTGAAATCGGGAAAAGTGAGTTAACGAGCAACTAACTAGCGTGGAAATTGGAATAAAGTAGATTGGCAACATACATTTCCGTTTACAACACTCTCAAGCGGTGATCCAAAAAGGTGCGCATGAAATCGAAAGGAAATTTGATAAATTTGATGAATTTGATAAACTTTTCCGGTTCACTTGAATCGTTTATAACGAAGTTCAGTGATTGGCGTTTATTATGGTGCTTGCTTTGCTTGTGTGACAAAGTTGCTTGTGATGATAAGCCGTTTTTAATGGTCTGCTCGGAAATATTTGGTAGTGATTTCTTGTACCGGTGGTAGAACGTAAAAATGGTAGTGGAGTCAATTGAGTTGAAGATTTGATTCTGTTACTATGCTTCTCTTTTCCGTCGTTTTATTCGATAGGGTTGTTGTCATGTAACATTAACTGATTGAATTCTATTGTTTCTTCCTTCTTTTATCACTAGCTAATCTTATATGTGTACAATAATGCTGCATATTATGAAAGTGTTCTTTTTTTTTTTGTTTATTTGCTCAGTAATTGAACTCCATTCCTTGGCCTCAAAACTGTAAATGAGCCGAGCTTACGAGTGACTCGGTTCGTTCCAACACTTCTTGGCCAGTAGTTGTATGTCTTTGACTTTTTGCAACAGGAAGAGACACTTGATAATTGATATTTATCACTCTCTTGACTTTTTGAGCCTTCTCCAAATGCAATAAAAGTGAAGAACATAATAATTGGCAATCATTTGGCCATTTGGGCTCCACCATAGATGATTAAAGTACAGTTTTAATGAACTGTCCATTTCCTTAGGCTGTGTTTGGCTGCTTGTTGTCAGACTCAAATGTAGAAATTGAATATTGTGACAGAGGAAAAAAAAACATAATGCATACAGGATCATGTTCACTTACTGCTGGGCTCTTCCCTACTTCAGTTTTGTGTTTACTGTTTAAAAACAGACACCCCATGTGAAGGTGGCTATTTTGGTACCTTACAAGTTACAACCCAATAAATAAATAAATAAATAAATAAAAATGTTTTGGACATGTAACAATTATTTGTTAATTGATTTGGTGATTTTTGCATTTTAGATTTTGTTATTTCATATTCTAGATAATAAATATATGTCGTTTTTTTTATGTGTTTTATGACGATCTGCCAACTTCACGAACTGGCTTCAAGAACCTGCAGAAGCTCAAGTCGATTTTTAGACTCCATAATTATGTAGTTGTGTTGATCGTAATAATCGCACATTAGGGTTTTCATAGTTGGCAACGAATGATATATAATCATTTATAACCCGAGTTGCACCTATTATTTATCGAGTTAGCTCCAAAACCTTTCTGAGGTGTTGATCGTAATAATCGCACATTAGGGTTTTCATACTTGGCAACGAATGATATATAATCATTTATAACCCGAGTTGCACCTATTATTTATCGAGTTAGCTCCAAAACCTTTCTGAGGCTACATCAGTTTTCACATTTGGCTATGTTTGGTAATGAGAGGTTCCAAGTTTAGGTTTGATACAATCTTATGAGGATATAAAAGTTCAAGCACACAATTGAAGCTCTAGAGCACGCAGAGTTTCGTTAGAATTGGTTTTTTTTCATCGGTAATTCTAAATGTTGGAAAAACAGTCATTAAAATTGTTAAAATCCAGTTAAAATTGTTAAAATCCAACTACAATTCCACTGAAAACTCAATTCCGGACAACTTTTATCTTGAATCCATGGAGTTTGGTCCACCCGGTCAAGCTCTGTCCACTCAGGTCAATGATTTACTTTTTCCACACCACTTTTTTACTGCTCCACGCCACAAAATGTTGTTAATAATTTATTAGACAACACAATCACCACCTTAGTATTTAATTATATTCTTTTCTTGGCGGCATTCAGCTCACAAGAGTGATGCTGTATGTTTGGATAAACTTAAGGACTGATTATTATTAGTAGACTGATTATTATTATTATTATTATTATTTCAGTCAAATTTTATTTCAATAAAGTAAAACTTGAAACAAAAATTACTATTTGTTTCACATTAACTTTACCTACAATGTCAATAATATAACTAAAAAAATAAAAATTATTGTATATTTTCAACAAAAATCATTATTTATCTACTTGCATATTTATTATTACAAATCTTATCAGTTAATAATTACCTATTCATACGTTTATCATTTTCACTTAACTAAAATAACCTACATTTTAGGCAAAAAACAAAGGGCCAAAAGGTGGCAAAAATCCAGTATACATGTTTTGTATTGAAAATTTTTACAAGTCAAACTTTACACACTTATTTATGCTGCTGAATGAGATTCCCATCCCAGCATAACATAAGTACATTACATTGAACTTGCCTTGTAAAGAAAAATAAAGGTGACAAAGGCGTGAAGCATATTAAAAGGTGCTTATGATTAATAATTAGTAATAATTATAGGCTAATTAAAATTCGAGCACTCAAAGAAAAAGGTAAAGATTGAGGCTTAATCTTTATATGTGTTAATTTTAATGCTACTCCTTGATAGATAAGCTAATGTTATTATGGAATGCTTATATTGCAATGTAATTAGGTTCGTAACTAGCATTTAATTTCATTTTCTCCTTAAATTTTGCAGCCAACTTAAAATTCATGGATCATATTTTGGAAATCATAATTTTGCATTCATCATCTCTAGAGCTATTGAACAAATTGAGTTTGTGAATAGCTAATCGATCTCGTTTATTTAAACGATCCGCATAGCAGAGCTACTATTTGAGAACATATTGACTTTTTATTTTGTGAATTTCATATTTGCAAACTCATTTAAAATTTTAGGTTTATTAAATGAGTTAAGCCAAGTTTTTTTACAGATAACTTTACTTTTTCTTTTTATAAATTTTTAATAAAATAGTCGAGCCGAACTTTTTTGTAAACGAACATTTCATATTTTCGAACAACTCGTTTAAAAGTTTTAGGTTTATTAAACAAGTCAGAACATGTCCACCTTTTTTATTTTTTCATCACTTTTTGTTCCATTGTGGCATTGTGTAAATGACGACAATATGAAGTCTATTGTATTCGGAATTTCCAGAACAAACCTCAACCAAAATAATTTCACCATATTTTTTATTCTCTTCTCCACAATTTTAATTGCTTTTGTTCTTTTCCTCCTTCAACTCTCAACCTCATTTCTCACCATTATCACACTCGTAACTGAATTTCTTCAACTTTTTTCTCTGCTCTCCCCGTATTTATCCTTTATTCTTATTTTTCTGTGTGCGTGAGATAACCAAGAGTCACTTTCAGTTGCAGAACAGCTATGGGGGAAGCTGAAGCGACCACTTAGCTAATCCGATACCGGGAATCCCACATTGTACTCGTTTCATAAAATCAGACAAAATACTGAGCCTTGAAAAATGTTGAAACTGAACATGGGATCTGTCAAGGTTCACCTTTGCAGCCCTTAATGCTGTGTTTTTTTTTTCTTCACTCGAAACAGTCTTTTCGTTCTCAAAAAATTCATTCACACCAAAATGGTTCTTTAAAGATTCAACCTTGAAAGCCCTTTCTCGACAATTTTCTGCTTCTGGGCCTCCATAAAAATGTCTACTTTAGAAATAACCCACATTGATTTGGAAATCGGCCGCCGGAGCTCCGGCGGCGGCGCCGCTGAGGAGGAGGAGGAGGAGGTGGAAAGCGTTTGCTTTTCAGACGGCTCGTCAAATTCCCAATTTTACTCCACCATTGACGGCGATGGCTCGTACGATGATTATAGCTTTGCCTGTGGGTCTGAGATTTTGGAGGGTGGGGCTTTGGTGTCTCGAAAGGCCTCTTCTGTGGCCGACACGTGTGAATCTGTGGATTTAGAGTATGGTGAGAAGAAAGAAAATTTGGGGGATTTAGAGAGAGATTGCAGGATTTGCCATTTGAGTCTCATTAGCAGCAGCCCAGGTTCTGGGGTGCCTATTGAGTTGGGCTGTTCTTGTAAGGACGATTTAGCTGCTGCCCACAAGCATTGTGCCGAGGCTTGGTTCAAAATCAAAGGAAATAAGTAAGTGCTCTGAAGGAAAAAAAAAAAAGGCATAAAATGAGAGTAAAAGATAAAAAATCTTGAATTTATTGTGTTTATGCATACTTTGTCTCTTTGTATCTGTGTATGGGAGTGTGTTCTTTTTGAATTGTTAGTATGGTTTGTTGAGATATTCTATGTTTGTATGACTAAATTGATTTCAAGATCTCATTTTGATGTTTGCATCATTTTTAAACTGTAGTTGGTGAATTTTCATTTTGCGGGTCACTGTTCAAACTCATATATTATTGAAGCATGAAGGTGTGTATAATGTATTGCTTCTGTTTGGTTTGTCTTTCACACTTTGCTATTACTAATTTGGTTGAAAGGGAATATTGGAATCTACATACAGTTTTTAGTACACATGCTCTGAGCTGTTAAGAACAATGTAGTTAGTCTAAATGGACAAAAGTAAAGCAAAAGTGTAAAGCAACAAAGCTAATAGCTTTGTATGTGTAATTACATCACCGATTGCTTTCTGCTATGCCTTCTTAATTAAGTTTTTGCTGCTTATTCACCCTTGGGAATCATTTTTTCTTTTTTAAACTAAAGTTGTGATTTTAACTCCAATTAGTCACATGATGTTTTTTCCAGATTATGTTCTATGGATGATGGACCCTTTAAGATCTTCACCACTTTATCGTGTTAAATTAAAAGATATTTTTATGGTAATAGTGATTGCAAACCCATCTTTGAGATGCTTCATGCTGGACATTTTCTTTCTTGAAATACTACAACTTGTAATTTCAACTCAATGGCAAAATGCACCAATATTTTGATACGAGAAATGATTATCTATCTATAACCTTATTCAGATTTTAGCCGAATAGTTGCAGTATCACATAAAAGATAAAACTATCCCCCGTTGTGCATATATCATTTGTTACAAATGAGCCTTCAAACACTATAAATCAGACTTAATGTTACTCAACTTCTCTTGTGTAGTAACATATATAGTTTGCTGTTGTGATTAAAGCTTTGAAGTGTACTTTCTGATAGAGGAAAAGACTGAGTTCACACTTTGAAAATTAAAGCTTTGATATTTTTTTCTTTTCCTTNGGGAACTTGAATTTGCAGTATGCAATATGTATTTAATCTTTATACTAGTTACACTTTTTCTAATTAATTATGCAATAATGTTGCAGTTAAAAATGAGATTTGAGATATGGGATTTTGCAGTTATTCTTGCTGGTTCTTGGATGGAAAATTTTTGGTACGCTATAAATATTGTAATTTTATATAGTTGTGATTGTTGCTTTTAAAACAGGTGACATTGAAACAGAACTTTTAAATGGTACCTAAATGATTTTGTCTAATGGGTAGTGCTATTTCTTCTAATTTCAATATTTTGGGCTGGTGCTGCAATTAGTGGAATGCTCAGATTTGGATTTTTTTGTGTACATATGGCCAATTTGCTTATTATGCTATTTCCTTGTCATTTGTGGCTCACATTGGTGATATTATTGGATTGAAAAATATTATCTAATTGAGTTGGGTGTTTTAAGGTAACTATGAATCTATACTCTTTTTCTAGAATGCAGTAAAGCTAACTCGTATGGAAGATTGCTCCTATCTGTTGGGATTCTATCAATGGAGACAAGGGAAGATTTCGGGATTGGTGGAGTTTTGTATGCGCTATCAATTGTTTGGAAATTTCTGAAGCTCATATCTAGCTAACCACATACTTGTTATGGTGGTTATGTAAGTCGCGCAATCTCTGGGTGTTTAAGAAGGTCTGATGTCTTTGTCAAGACTGCTTTGAGTGAATGGCAAGAGTTCGCACACAGATTTGGGTGTTGATGCTTGGTGAGGAAGATGAGGGACTCTTGGCTGTGTTAAGGGTCTCGGCTGTTTCTAGTTGACTGTGTTAAGGGTCTCCACTGTTTGGCTAGCCTTAACGAGTCTTGTTGGTAGTTTGTTTTGCTTTTTCCTCGTTGAATTGTATTGGGCCAGTTGGCTCCTGATTTGTATATTTTGTATATTGGTTGATATAAATNNNNATATTATGCAACGTTAGAGTAAAAATGTCTATTTTAAGTTTTTATATGATAAAAATAATATTTAGGAGGTTAAAAAAACGCTTTTTATTGGGACTATTAATAATGAATAATGCTACTTTGACTAATTCTTTTTTTACTCTAATGGATGACATAAATATAGAAATTATTGATTTTAAAGTTGATGTAATGTGTAAAGTTATAAAATATTAACGCGTGTGTATAGAGCTGTTAAATTAGACTAGTCGCTCGTGAGCTGGGCTCGGCTCGGCTAGCTTGAGCTCGTTTGGTTAATGAGTCGAGCTCGATTTGGTACGATAAGATTCGAAAATATAATTTTTATACAATTTCGTATAATTAGCTTACAATTCCGAGTCGTTAAGGCTCGAGCCGAGTTCGTTAATATAGATTAACAATCTGAGTTCGAGCTCGATTATGAGTTTGTAAGTTAACGTGTCGAGCCAAGCCGAGTTCTGCTTGTTTACAATCTTAAGCGTGTATTATATCAAACTTTATATGACCTGTTATTGTAGATTTAGCATTATTAATTGGTGTCTAATTGTCAATCTCATGCGGTGCATGTTACTATGGTGTCATTGTTCGCACCGGATTATTACTCCATTAGACCCCCATTTGGTTTGTTCATCCGAGTTAGGGCTTAGCCTTTAAACCTTTCCTACTATACACTCGTCCGCCATTTTCTTTACCACTGAATAAATCGTCTAAAAGCTGCAAGCTACATCTCGAAGGATTTGTGTTTGATTATTTGTAGCTCCCATTGAAGATCTAATGGCTAAAGACAATGCGCCCTCGGCTTTCGAGAAAGAACAGGTATTTTCTTAACACCTTACACTCGATTCCAGATAAGAAAATTGGATTCGTAGTTTTATGCAATGGGGATTTCTGATATTGCGGATTTTAAGGTTTTGATTGTTCTTTGTATGTTTGCAGCTTTTGGGGATGATGGAGAAGGAGATGGAGTATAGGGTTGATATGTTTAACAAGTAAGGCGCTCTATGTGTTTGTGAAAATGCTCCTTAGACAAAAATAAATTAAAAAAAAAAATCGCCTTTTGTAATGATTGCATTTATTATCTACCTATGTTATCATTAAATTCGTTTTTTTGTTTGTGGGTTGTAATATTTATGAGTGCTAGAACTGGAAAAATTGTGCCTTTGCTGATTGTAATTGCTTGTCGGATTGAATTAAAAACATTATCTCTGCCAACTTTACCTCACCCTTTTATTGAAGTATTTGCTTATGATTGTGCTGATGATACCTTTGTTCTGCTTCAGGCTTACGCACACGTGTTTCAACAAATGTGTCGAGCACAAGTATGTATTACAGAATGCATGAATCGATATTGTTTCTTGAAATTTCATATTGAGTATTGGTATCATTTAGGAATGTCAATGATTAGAATAATTTTTAAGCACATAATCAAAGGGAAGTGGATTTTTTTTTTTTTTTTTCAGATACAAAGAATCAGAACTAAACATGGGTGAAAACACCTGCATTGATCGGTGTGTTTCGAAGTATTGGCAGGTATAATTAGTTTTTGCGATTCTTTTGGTGTTTGAGCTTTGTGCGAATACATGCTTGTGCACATCTCTTTTATATAATATGAGAGTTAATCAATGTGGTATAATATACTTACCCATTTATAATTCTAGTGTGTGTTTTTTGGTAGAAAATCAAGGATCAAATATGTAATTGTTGTCGTAGGTTGATGAGTTTACTTGGGATTTGATTTCTGACATATTAGTGGGTTTAATTTACTGACTCTTGTTTGGTAAAAAAAAAAAACCCGGAGGTTGTTACTTGTTATCCGACTAAAAAAATTTAGGCCTTTAAGTGAAGAAGGATTATCATTGTCTTTAAAAAGTCTTTTGGGGCCTGATTCGTCTAGTATTGATATTATTATCTAATTTGTATCTATTAACCATGATTTAATTATTTGCCTTTCCAAAAGATGTATATATGCAAATGTAACCATCTATCCAATATCATGAAGAAATACACTTTAAACGTATGTATTTTAAATTATCTCGGGAGAATATAAGAGCATCTCCAATGCTATAGCTTTGAAAGACAATGATTTTTAACACATGTCAATCAATGATTGTAATGTTAATCCATGTAGGAATAATGTTAAAAGAGTAGAAATTTGAATCAAACTAGTATCTCCAATGCATCAATTTGGTAAGAAGTTATTTGTATAGGTGGACCAATTAAAATAATCATTAATACAAGAACAATAAAAAATTAAATCAAATATAAAGTGAATTGATTAGTCATCATGTTTAACATGGTGTTAGGTATTAGAAAGTGTGCTCAACATTGTCAACATTAAATGCTATCCACCTCATCATGAAAGAGCTCATGACAAGATGCATTGGAGAACAAATTAGTAACACACTTTTAAAAATTGATGATATGGATGAATTTTTATAATGTCAAAAGCTACATTGGAGATGCTCTAAGCTAAGTAATGTTTCAAGTTCTTTCATGCGCGGACATTTCTGGCTTTAAGAATGGACTTATTTTTTACAGGTGACAAACTTAATCGGCCAACTGCTAGGAAATAGCCGGCCTCCAATGTGAAGGGAAGAATATTTACTCACTATATTCGAGCAGGCAAGTCTGACATGGATTTATTTTGTAGTGGACCGAATGTGCTCGATTTTTTGAGAAAATAATGATTGAAGTTGAAGTGATATTGTAACTTTTGCAAATTATTCTCATATATTTAAATAGATTTTGTTACTAGTTTTTATAATTCAGTTGCTGTTATTTTGTGCCTGTCTAGACATATTGTTCGATTCTTAACGAACCGAACTGTTTAATCATAATTGGGATTATACTTGTGCGGACAGAAAATGTCCAAGTGAAATGATGTTATTTTGATGTAATTTATTGCACAGGAACAAGAGCAGCATAATATGTGTGACATACAAAGAAAAAAGATTGGATAAAATCATTTTTAATAAATAAACAGTCAATACAAACTATTGAATTATTTCGTAATATATTGGATAACAGATGTAAGTAAGCAACATTAAGAAAAAAAAAAAAAAATGAAAACCAAAGGGTCATTTTCTGCAGTCATTCAAACTATAAAGTCAATACATATATCCAACTCGTCACTTATTTTAGTTAATTTGGATTATATGTCTCTCTCACCACCAACTAAACTCTCTTCCTGTTATGGCGTCCTTTTCAATTTTATTCTAGGAACATATCAATAAATCTCTCTATATATATTTATATGTCTAAACATTTATTAAAAATAAAAGTTTCCAAATAACATCAATTTATTACTAAAAGAGTAGATTTCATATAATTTTTTAACCTTTTACTTCTTTCCCCCTTCTTGTTTGTCTTTTTATGTTTCTTTTGTTCTATGCGGATCTTGATTTATGTAACATATATTTCTTGAGTAAGCAATATATCACAAATAGTATGTTTGATATGCTTATAACAAAGTATATGTTTATAATATTTTTTTCTAATAAATCAGATTCAATATGTATTAAAGTTTTGCATTGAGATTAGACGTGGATCATAATAATTTATTTTTTTTTCTATAAATCAAACTAAATCCAAGTCATAAATTATTTATGTTTATTGATATCACAATCATTATATTAAACTTCTATACAATGATTTATCAAACAAACTACCTAAAAATTTAAAGTTCAAAATAAAAAATAAAAATAAAATCAATATCTATTTGTATTTTATATTTACAATAATCTATACTTTGCACATGCATAGTCACTACTTATAAAACAAATTACAAACATTCAACAGGTAAGGTTCCATAATCACATGGAGATGCCATTGTTTCTTTCAATTTCAATTTAGGATGCATGAATATATATGGCTTGATTTTCAAAGATTGGTTACATTTTACCTTTATAAGTTAAGTGATACAATTGGCCAACTGTTTGACCAAACATGTGCCAATTTAATTTCATGAAAATACAAAAACGGTACAAGCAAAAAAAGGAAAATTTTCAACCATCAGAGCAACACAGCAACCCACAATATATGGGAAAAGGGTAAAATAAAGAGAACAGTGACATAAAAAAAATAATAATAAAAAAAAAATAAAAAGAATCAAGTGCATCAACTTAAATAGTTCAATAAACAAATGCTTCTCAGACCCACTTTTTATATCCAAATTGACAACAAAATAAAAATAAACAAACAATGAAATAAATATGCAGTAAATAACTGTAAATAATAGAACACTTGTTTCCAGAATGCAATATGGCTTTCATGACTACACAATGTCCCACCAAACGACATTTAAAAAAAAATAAATAAATAAAAATTAAAAAAAAATTTAAAAAAAAAACTTCACTCCATGACCTAAATTACAAGTGTTGTGTACCAAATTTCTGAAGAACTTTTTTTTCACCTGGACAAATTTGTGATTGATTAAAAGCTCTTCAACTAAACACTGTTGATAACTGCTTCAACATGGACAACATTTCCATCTTCCATAATCTTGCCGTTTACTTGAGTTCTCGGCCTCTGCTAAAAGGCGAAAAATACGAGTTATAATAAGATAATCTTTATTTCATTTGCAGAAAAAATAATCTAAAAGGCGAAAAATATGAGTTATAAAATAATTTAGTTTCAAATGAAGCTAAATTTATATACCCAATCGGCTGAATCTCCAGAGTTTCCATTAATCAGCTTATGATTCTCTTCCTTACTTCTGTTATCTTTTGTCACCGGCAGGAAAAGGGTGGCCCCACTAGAACGGTCAGGAAGTTCTGTATACATAAAGAAAAAAAAAAAAAGAAGAAAACCCCAGTTGGTCAATCTAACAAAAATCGACAAATGAAATACGAAGGATTTGTTGTACAGCCAACTCAAAGTGTAAATGCAAACCTGGCAACTTCTTGTCAATAAAGAACACGACCAAATTAACTGTGTACCTGTGAGGAAAACAAAAAACACACATTTCGAAACTTTTCCGATTTCTTATTCTTTATTTCATTTGTGTTTACTTTTTACCAAAAAAAGGTTCTTTACGAGAAATAAAATACTTAATTTGCATCTCGGTTATTACCATGCCACGATAACATCGACTGTGTAGTGCTTTCGTGATGCCACAATCAACAAGCTTTGGATTATAACCGTTAACCATGCAAGCTGCTTTATAAAACTGGACCCAAAAAAAAAAAAGTTGTAAAGTGGTTGTTAAATACTAAAATGAAACCGGAAATATTTATGGAGCATGATTATTATTATTCTTTTTTCAAATTACCTTCGAGTGCCGTATTTATGATATGTTCGCACAAAAACTAGAGAGAATATCATGTGAGAGGAAAATATTAGATCCCCACAGCCATACAGCACACCCTTAGGAACTGCACGACATAAATAAACTAAGCACACGGCATATCATATGACAAAGGAGGGAAAAAAATGAAATAGAACCTATTAATAGGACTTCAAAAATATTATCTGGAGGAGGCAGCCGAGCAAGCTTCGATCCCTACATATCATTCACAAAGAAAAAGATAACTAATATAAGCCATTATAGTGTACTAATATAATATCATTTTCAGAATTAGCTTAATTAAGTACCTCTCGACAATGGTAATTCGGACCAGGCAGCTGAGTAGAGTAGAAAGTTATTATCCTAAGAAATTGACATGCCTGCAAGTAAGCAAGCAAAAGATGCAAATTATTTAAAAAAATCGGTAACAAAAAATAAAAAATAAAAAATAAAGCGAGACTTCTTCCTAAACTTCTCTCTACACAGAATTTCGCAAGCGTTTAAGAGCATTTACAACTAAGAATGCCAAAACCCTGCACCAAATGAGGACTGTGTAAATCTTCTTGCTCTTCAATATGAAAGGATGGAAAGTCCACTGCATGTAAAGCATCATAATATTTTAGAACATTTAAAATAAATAAATAAAAAAAGGGAAAATTGTATCCGAACAGCAAGAAACTTACCAATACGAAAGAGAGAAAAACAAAGGTAAATACGGTTTCGCTAATGTAAGCTCTTTCTGGCCCAAGTTCCTACAGTTTTCAACAAGGTTTTGTCGCAACATATAAGGCCCCGGCTCAAATATGCTCGATTGCGCTTTTTTATGTTAATAAAAGGAAAATTAGAAAAGCTGATTATTGTTACCGGAAGAAGAAAGAAGCCAATATCCTGGAGTATAGGTCCTGGCCGGTGGAAATAATGAACTCCTCGAGCTGCTAGCCCGTGTATGTACTGATGGAAAGATTTATAGATAGTTGTTACGAAATATAAATATTGTGTAAATAAGAACCCGAAAGTAGCAGAATTTAGAAAATAGTCATTGGATAATAATAATAATAATTGTATCAGAGAAATTCGGTAATGGAAATTATAGGCAGAAATGCTTCAACACACCATTTATTACACGTTTGAAGGATTGTATGATGGTAACATTAATCACGAAAACAGCTAAAGGTAATCTGAACTCGGCCAGTTAGACTAATGCAGATTTTCGAGATCAAGTTACTACCAATTCAAAATAAGTAGCTATCAGCATTATACCGAAGTAGCGACTGAGATAATGACAAAGAGATAATAATAACACTTCAAAAAATTCCATAATTCAGCAATAAACAATAAAGTAAGAGGCAAGAAGAAAAGTAGAAAACAATTTATGAGTGTTTTCTACTTCCACAATCCAATCCCATCACCATAACTTAATTCCCTCCCACCAAAAAGAAAAGGAGAAAGAACAAAAGNATCTTTGTCAAATTCCTTAAAAAAAAAGCGCGAACTCAAGAGAAACAAGAGCTCACAAACACTTCATTTTAAAAAAAAAATGCAAAATTTAAAGCGACAAGGGGACGAACCTTCGAAGCCTCGCGACCAATGTAAAACGACATTTTTCTATGTATGAGACACGAACAGCAGCGCCATATCACATTAGAAGCAAACTGCTTACAAGAAAATTCATCCTTAAAAACCTCGAGAGAGACTCCCTTTATCCTCTTAATCCAATCGATAAAACTAACTATTCCACTCAAAGATCTACAAACCAATACAGAAAAAACAGATGGCCCAGTTGCAGAATCGGCGATGCCAACAAGACAAGAGATCGATTTTAAGCAAAAGGCGACGCCTTTCAAACGAAATCTGAACGATCGAGACAAAAGTGATGAAAGGGCTCGTCTGAAAAACACGCTCTAAAATTTATACGAGCTGTTCTTGCTCCAATTTGTCTCCTCCTGCTGAAAAACGCGAGTTGAACACGGTGAAGCAGTTGAGAAGGAAAAGGGCAAAAGAGATGCGTAGAACAATAAAAAGTAATAATAAAATAAAATAAAATGAGAATAAAGAGACAAATATAATTGTTTATAGGAGTAGTGGGATAACCGTTTAATAGAATCAAAATGAATTTTTTCTTTTCGAATTTATTAGCAATAAATCAAATTTGTAATTATACACAATAAACCTGTATTTCAGTACATGGTAAAAACTTCTAACTTGTTTAGTTGTAACACCTAAGATTCCAAGACATGAGAGTCCCACTTAAGGCTCTGACACATTTTGAATTAATATATAGAATATATAGAATATATTAATTATTAGTTTTAGTTTTTCAGCTAGTAATAAACATAGAAGAAAAAAAGATAAATATTTTGTTGGAATAATTAATTTATTAATAAAATACATTGACGTATATGGTGGGCTTTAAATTAGTCAATGAGCTGGCCGGTCGAAGAACGTATGGCAATCAGACCTGGCCCATGGGCCCTTCGTTTTTCAAATGCTGAATAAAAAATAAATAAGAATGCTTATATTATGAGTTGCATGTTAAATTGTAGGAAAAATTACATTTGCATTCTTTTCTTGATTTTACTTCTTTTAAGTTTTAACTACTATATTTCAATATAAAAATTTTATAGTCTATTACGAATTCTGTTCCAATAATGATTTTGAATAACAACGATTCTATTAGCATAATTCTTTAAAAGTTTTTAAAATAATGGGAGATGAGTAATATGTCATTTTAGTTAATATTAATGTTGCTGTTAAGCTGCTTAATCTTAAGGTAATTTTGTTTTTTTCAATAAATTTACATATTTTCTTAATGAATAATTGAATATCATACTTTAACATACATTATAAACATATGTATTTTACAGTACAAGCATGCGATATATATATATATATAACTAATTATCAATCAATTTATCAATATCATTTGAGTAAGAAAAATATGTGACCAAAATAAAACATACATTGGTAGTATTTCGTATATTAATGTGTTGACATTTGATGGCTCCGACAAAACTGGAATGTAATGATAGTGGATGGGATTTTGAAATATACATAGTAAATTTTACAAAATTAGAAAATTATATGTGAATTAAATTTTGACTAAGCATAACTAATTATCCCATGCTCCAAAATCATCATTGTATTAGCTAAGCATGCTGATAAATCTGCTCATACATTGTCATTTCACTAAAGGCTTTTTAATTATTTACCTAAGTTGAAGCATGCAGCTTTTATCACACATTGTCATATAAAATTTTAAATTAGTCATCAATATTNTTCATCCATTTATTTTTAAATTCCATTATAAGTTTTTATTTATTTATATTTATTTATATAAATGAATATTATTTACTTTCTTGATTTATTATAAATGTTTTTATTTTTTTTGAGATATATCTATGTACTTTTATAAGATGTTTTTGGCGGAATCAGAATTCAAAAAATCACTAGCATCCATGAAACTTGCTGTAAATCTAATCTGTCAACTTTTTCTATCATTGTCTTCTTTATTTATTTATTTTATTTTCAAATTTAAAAAATGGAGTTTTTGGGGTCCCTCAAATCTGATCCAGTTGGACAATCATAGTAGGAGACAACCCAACCAGCTAGGTCCACGTGCCATAATTATAAACTAAACTAAACTAAACTGAAAAACATATATTCTTATTTTTGGTGAAAAATAAGCAGTAGTAATTATCAAATTCAAATAACTAAAGTTGATATACATTCAGTAAATATAAAATATTTTATGTTGAAAGAGATGCAATAGAAATATTAATGACTATTTCAATATTATGTGATGTGATATAGAAAATATTAATTAATTGCAATCGTAATTTAAAAATCAATTGTATATTTGGATTTCTTGTTCAATTTTCATTAATAATTTTGACTTTTGTATTTCTCTACACCTTTCCGAATGCCCACCATACTATAAGAATAAAAATCCATGTATATAAATAATATTTTCTATTTGAATTAAGAGGTAAATATAGTAGAAAAGCTTGAAGGTTTAGAAATTAATAGTTGAAAGCTTATACAATTAGATAGGTGAGGTGAGATGTTGTTCTTATTGTTTTTTTTGTTTTTTTGTTTTTTTGTTTTACTCTAAGCAAAGTAAAAGTATTTTTAAACTAAAATGTTAAAATTTAGCTCTTTCCATACACACTTGAAAATATTTCCTCACCTAAAGCACAAAAACTCATAATAAAATATAAAGTTTAGAATTTAAATAAAGTAATTATTTGACATATTTTGAAAAGTATATAATTTCTTTAATAATACAGTTATTTATCTACTAGTATGATTGGTTAGGTCATCCAATGTAATTTGAGGGGTTAGGTCAATTTACAGAATTATGTGTGTGAAATAATGTATCTAGCAGTGAGTTACTCTTAAATTGGCCCATACTAGATGAGTCGATATGTCATAAATTTTAAATAAAAATATATATTTATAATATGAAATTTCATATTTTTTATTTATATTATTTTCTAAAATGTAATACTTTAATATGTGACTACGTCCATATGGAAGAAAATAAAATAAAATAAAATGATGTAACTGTTGGTCATACTAACAACACTCCACATGGATTTGAGAATGATTTTTGAATTGTGATTTTCAAGCGTTTGGGCCCAAATTTGGGAACTGAGAAAGGGATTGAAGATGGTTTTTGTGGTACACACTTCAAGCTGTCCTATCTTTTCTAGACAGACCCATTTACAAGATTTTTACGGGACTCTTCAAGGAAGTTACAAATTCATTTATTTAATATTATATATATATATATTTTGTAAAGTATTATGCCTAAAACAAAGTCTACACACTGGAAAATTTTTATTCTACTCAGCGAGTAATGCCCCAAAGGAAGCGTAGCCATCGGATCAATGCACACTTGTATAATTGTGTGATGGGATGGTCAAAATCCTAACGACGTTTTATGGAGTTTTATTCATTTGTACCTATATTTTGCGGAAAAAAAAAATGATTATAAGAGTGAGTAAAATTGAGTCGAAACATAAGATATGAGTCAAATTGTGCACTTGGGTGCAATNCGTAATAAATTAAAAAAATTGTATAGTAAAATCGAGAAAAACAAAACCGAGCTAAACCTGCGGTTCGGTTCGACTATTCTAGTATAGAATTTTTTTTTCCAATTTCAGTTCGACTTTCTCCTATATTGTAGTGCAACCCCATTGCCTTTTTCAATAAGTTTAAATTTTCAAATTTTCACCATTCAGTGCGGTTTTGAACCAAATCGAAACATTTCCAACTTCTCATTTTTATGGACCGAGAGTTGTAGATGGAGTCGACTCCATATTTCAATAATAGAGCCCACTTTCCTACTCCAAAAAAGCCCATGTCGACATTCGCTAAAGGCCCAGCCCACAAAGAAGATCACCATCTAATCCAACGGTCAACGTGTTTTCTTCCCCAAATCCTTATCACCACCAATCCATGTCCCTCGTGACCTCGCTCTAAGCTTCTACCAGTCAAAGAGCAAAACCAACCAACCAATTCTTGAAAAAACAGAGCTCAGAACGCACAGTCGAATTACAAAATCAGCTATTATGAGTTTCAATTGTATTCTGGGCCGTACTGTTTTGTAGTGATTTTCGTTGATTTTATCTCTTGTTGGGCAGCTGGTGAGGTAATTTTCTGCAATGGAGGCGTTGAATTTTCCCGCTATGCATCTCAATCCTCAGCTCAGTCGGACCAATTTTCTTACTCGCTCAAGTGATGGGGTAATTGTGCTTTTTTCTCGGAGCAATTTTGCTTATCTTCTGCGAAAAATGGCGTTTTTAGTTTTTATTTTATTTTAACTTTTTGTTTGCGTCTCTGTGTTTGGACTATGAGGATTTTGAAAGGGACTTAGATATTTTTGTTAGTTGAGCTGGTAACTGGGGTAATATGTGTGAGATACACATAAAAAATCGATCTTTTTGTGCAGGGCCCTTTTCATTTCAGTGTCTGAGGTTAATGTGAGCTCTTGTTGATCATATCTAGATTTGTTGTCATGTATATATAACAATCTACAAGGTTTTAAATTTAATTGAGTAATTAGCAGGCTATTTTTCTTATTTCTCCATTTAGTATTTGCTCCAGAAGATTATGGGTTGTTTAAGTACCAAAATTTGTGCTGTTCTTTTCACATCCTACATAACCCATCTCACGAGAGTGAAAAATCACATGAACTGGTCTGAAACATATGTTTAGCTGCTTATCTTGATACCATTTTGTCACACGATCATATAGGTAATGATCGGCAAACTCAATTTAGCGATCTTCGGAAAAACCGGGCCACCGCCAAACTCTCTACTTTCTTCATACGGTCTGACTTCACGGTACACACACTTTAGTCTTTACACAAGTTCACTCTCTCTATCCGTATTTATTTTCTCACAATTATCGAAAAGTCGAGCATTTAACATTTTAAACACATTCCATTCAGACAACGTTCGACCACATCACGCCACGTGGCAAGAGAAGATTCCGGCGGGTCCCTTAGTGGTGAAAGCATCCTTCTGAATGAGCAAACCCTCGAACGGGAGCTCCAGGTGGCAATCGACCAAGAAAACTATACTCAGGCAGCAAAAATCAGGGACAGTCTCAAAATACTCCAAGAGGACAGCAAAACCTCGGTTCTTGCAGCAAATGCTAGGTTTTACAATTCCTTCCGGAAGGGTGACCTGGCGGCATTGCAGGCCATCTGGGCCAAGGGCTCGCATGCTTGTGTGGTCCACCCTGGCGTGAGTGGAATATCGGGCTACGATCTTGTAATGGGTAGTTGGGAGTTTGTGTGGGCCGATTATGAGTTTCCATTGGAGATCGAGATTAAGGATGTGGAAGTTCATGTAAAGGGGGATATGGGATTTGTCACGTGTATTGAGATGGTTAGGACTAAAGGCAGCGGCTGGGGAAGGCATTTCGCGACGAATATTTTCGAGAGGGTCGATGATCGGTGGCTCATATGNGTTAAATCTGATTTATGTTTGAGGTGTTTTTTGTGGTGCTTTGAGTTCAAACTTCTGAATTGTAGCTGGCTTCCAATGGGTGGAAGAAGTTGATGTGTTTTGTTAGTTTATGATGTGAAGTATGTCTACAGATGAATATATATGAATAATCTTGATTTTGTGTTGTAACTGATGTAGAATGCTGCATAACAGAGTTTTATAAAGGTGGATTTTCTGAATCCGAAATGCTACTTTTGAAACATGTTTTTTGATTGATATGTCTTTAGAGTGTGATTATTTGGAAGTAAAGCTGCAAACAAGTCGAGTCGAGTTGAATACCGGCCTTGTCGAGTTTCTTCTTCACTGCTCGAGCTCAATGAGCCATGTAAAAAAAAAAATAAGAATGTTCGAGTTCGACTTGTTACTTGACATGACTTGAGTTTGACTCGAAATTTTAACAACTAAATTTTAAATATGAAAGTACTATGTTTAATCTAAATAGACAATATCGACCTTGGTGCTTTAATATTGATAACTAAACTATATGAGACGCATATGTGAATAATAAGTCGAGCGGCTCGTTGAGTTTACGAGACTCTTGAAATGATGCTCGAGGCTCGACTTGTTTGCTCGAGCTCGAGTTTGACCAAGCTTGAGTCGAGCACTAACTCGAGCTGCTCGATTCGTTTGCAGCCCTATTTGGAAGGCTACAACATATGCTGTCGATTGATGTCTTTAGAATACGATTATCTGGAAGGCTATAACCATCATACACTAATAATAGGTCTCAGACAAAACTGATTGCAACAAAATCTAATTTACAGCTAAAAATTCGCCAGATGCAAAGAATATTACAATAGATCCCATAACTATTCTGCACAGCAAACATCTTTACGTGATGAAGAGTTGGCAACAACACAAGTCTCTTGGAGATATAAATGCAGCTTCAGCCACTCGAAAAATCAAACTTTCGAATGCTTGCCCATTTTTAAATCCTTCCAGCAGGAGATAATGTTCTTGACCCAGTTATGGACTCTGCAAAATGTTCTTGATTCGGGTCTTTGCTGTCTGTAATGTCGGGGAATTTCAAACAGGTGACTTTCGCCACACATGTGGCAAATGCCTCAAGCAAGGAAATCGATGAATCAAGCTCGATCGAGTAGTACCCGTTTTTAAATGGTTTCATCGTGAAAACGGGCCCGTTCCCTTTTTCTCCATCCTGTACAAATGAACATCTCTGAATTTAGTTCATAATATAACCGTAAAGGCTTAATTTAATGACTTATTTTTACTTAATACTGTTTGGAAGTAATTAATCTCACGACATGTAAGCATTAAAACTTACCTCCACATAAAGATTGACATGATCAATACTATCGCTTGAGCTTCTCTTCTTACAGTCAACAAGTACACGCAGCTTACAGCCAACATCCCAACCTCCACAATCACACGACCCACCAAATCTCCATCTGCTAATCAACGATGAGAATGTGCCTTTGATCGGCAAGCCATGAACACCACCCGGAAGAATTACAACAACGCCCCTATCGTTTTTATTCTCCATTTTACTCGGATTTCCCACAATAACAGCTGCAAGTTCCTTTTTTGGTTCATTCTCAAGTGCCTGCTCGTCTCGATCATCAACACCGTAAAGTACGCATTCCCTTATTAAATTGCATTTTTTGCCGGAGCTCGAAATCTTCATTTGACCAACAATTTTATACCCAAGATTAGAGCTTTTACTCTTCGAACCTTGATTTATCCAGCTCGTGCCCTTTTTCTTAATCTCTTGGACAGAGTAGAATGTGTAAATCAAGCAAGAATCACTCTTTCCACATGCAGGTAGCCTCTTCACTGTAGCAGCTAGCATGTCATTGTTACTATTGACCACAAGTTTAAAGAAAGGGAGCCCGTTTTTCAAAGTTAGCTGCAGAAGGGCCTGTAAATTAGTCGGCCTCTCAGGCTTCATATCTTGATACGGGCCCTTGGAGCCCGTTGAAACAGTCTCGGCTGTGTGGGCCTCTTTGTGCTTCAGAAGTGGGTCCAGCAATCTCCTTAATGGGCTGGACCTCGCTCGGCTGCAGCCATTTGCTGGGTCATTTTTTAAGTTAATTGCGCCGAATGAAGTTTTGGGCCTCACTGAGCTCAAATGGGGTACTTCTGAGTTATCCTTGAAGCTATGACTTTTGCTTGTCTTGCCCCGGTGGAAGCTAAACCGGCGATTTTCAGCAATTGCGGCTCGATTTTTGTCAGAAGACTCAAGAAAAGATGATGGGATACCGTTTTCTTCTTGCACCAACGAATATTTACTTTCAGATACATCAATTGATTCAGAAGTCAATGGATTATTATATGAGTCATGAGCATTCGAAACTGAAAAATCACTAGACTTAAGCTCTTGGGGACAAAAGAAATCAGATAATCTGGGCCCCACAATTTCTGCGAATTCTCCATCGAGCGATATCCTAGGTTCTGTAAACCGAGAGCTCTCGAAGCTACCTCTTTGAAAGTGATCCGGTTTTAACAGCACGATATTTTCCGATTCCAGCTGGCATTTGGGTGTAAGTTTTATTTCCCTGTTCCCTAGCAGAGCATAACTATTGTTTAGCAAATTTTCTTCTTTTGACATCATCTCCTTTTTCGGATCCTCGTAAGACTTTGCTCTGTGATGAAAATTGTCTTGAAGTCTACCATTTTCATATTCTTGGTAGCATCTCATTTCCTTTCCTTTATTTAATCCAACAAGCTCGGCATATTTTTCACCACCCTTATGATGATAACGCACATTTCTTTCTTCATTAGGCGAATCAAATTGCGAAACACGAGGCACAGCTCGATTTCTTGAATTAAACGAGCTCTTTTCACAAAAATTTGAGGAGACTAACTGCTTTCTAGGGTCTTGACTTAATCGAGTCTTACTGCTTGATGATGCTTTTTGAGGGTATTTACGAGAAGGCATCCGCTCGTTATATTTCCACTTCTCCAGGCGCCTCCAATCGAGCACCCCAAAATTCAGAGCCTTTTCTTGAATATTACTTTGCTTCTCCATATGCTGGAGAAAAACGGGTAACTTGGACATGTATTTGACAAGCTCATTATCATCATAATCATCATCATCATCTTGCTTGTCTTGGGACGATAAGCTCGTTTTTCCTTCCCATAGCATTGGATTTTTCACGTTATCGGCAAACAAGGTTTGCTGTAAAGTCGAGCTTCTTTCCTGCTGTGAGAAGGCATCTGTATTACACATTCTTTTTCTTTTTCGCCCCTTTCTTAGAATAGGTCAAGTAAAATGTAAGATCTTCCTGAAAATATAAATCACAAACAACGATGCTAGTCAGTGAAAAACAAAACCACAAAATTGTTCGGTACAAAGTGATGATTTTATCAATGATCAGTCACAGGTGATTTTTCAAGATTTTCTTCTTCCAGTTAATATCAGGCAGATAAAGAGTAAATAAAAATCAAATGAGGAAAAAAGGGATAGACATCTAAAATGAAGATTAGAGATACTGTGCAAGATTACTCAAAACCTTAAAAATCCCAAAAATGCCAAAGAGACAGATGATGAAAAGCGGATGATGGCTCAAGCCATAAAACCCCCAAACTCAAGATCTCCCACAAATGGGTGGACTTCAAAACAAAGTAACATTACAAAAGTGCTATGGAACAAAAATTTAACCAACAAGATAAAAAAAAAAGGAAGGAATTGTTACACCCATTTACATTAAATCTAGGAAAACTGTACAAAGAACAAAACATAAACAAATCTCACACCACGGACCCATTTGAGCGCTGTCACTCTAACCTCAGAAGCTCGACATTTTCATAACCCCAATTCACAGAGAAAGGATTTTTCTCAGACTAAAGTTCAGCTAAGAGAGAGAAAGAGAAAATCTCAAATGTGGCTTCTTTACAGAAAGTGGGCGCAGCTTAAATGGGCAGGAATCCCAAGAAAAGTTTACAGATCCAATCATTTCAAAGCTCGAGAGCTAAAAAAGATGGTCCTAGATTTGCACTAAACAGGTAGAGTAATTATTAAGCATAAAGAACAATCTCCAAAAAAATAAAAGAGAGAAAGAAATAATCGGAACCCAATGAAAACGACATACGAGCAAATGCAGCAAAACCCACAAACCCATAAAGACATAACTGCAAAAGATAAAGTAAGAAAACAAAATCAACTTACACTGAGCGCAAAGCAAGGAGCTGCAGCATGAAATCCTCTCGGGATTCAATGAAACTGCAGAACAAATAGCTCTTTTTTCTGCAGATAAAAATTATGTAGATAAACAAGCGGCAAAAAGCTGTGCGTGCACGCAGAGAGATAAAAGGGAAAAAGTAGAAAACCCCGCGAAGAAATTGTAGCCACTGCACAGAGTGTGACTGTACGAGAGGTAAATGACATTAATGATGGCGATGGGCGATAGAGAGAGAATATGTGTGTGTGTGAGGCGTAGTTACTTTCTAACAAAATCTGACGGTTGAAAATCGAGATACGTATGGATCTGACGGCTGAGATTGTGCAAAGAAGGCGCCAAACGGGTCGAGAGGTAATATAATATAGGCATGTGGGCCCGGGTCGGGTCGCTCGTCATCTCAAGTTCAACGTTTGGATCCCTTTTCCTCTTGGGCCCGAATGCTGACGTGGGCCACCGAAATTATGCTCCAGTGGGCCCACCGATTGTTCATCTTCGGGTTATCAACAGATGGAAACAAAAAAATAGGAGGAAAATGTGTGGTCATTTATTTTATTTTTCTTTCTCGCAGCGTGCTGGGATATTTAATATTTAATTATATATGACATAATTTATCACTATTTTTTTAATACAATTTCACAAAATTTTAGCATTTTAGCATTAATTTATTACCAAAGTTCTCCATTTTTGTCAAAAAAGTTGATTTACCTTTTCTTTTTGGGACTAAACTAAAGCAAGTGGAGAGGAGGAAGACTGGATTTTGAGTGTGATATATAAATAGTGATTTGATGATTGTATTAGGAAAATCCGAAAATTTATGGGCAACATAGAAATTTGTAATATCTATTGACTTTTATATTGTTCGACTTTCATCGAAACAATCACAATAAAATTACCAAAAGATGACTCACCGTATATTTTCATAAAATTCAAAATTTGTGCATAAACAAGAGTACAATAATAGTATATTCTAAACAATAAGGCTATAGTTAAGTGTAAGATATCCGTATGTTTTTTCGTCATATATACGTACGTTTAAACTGAAATGTCATAATTATATAAATATTAGTATGACGTTTCATCGTATAAATATGTAGAGCATGTTTGTTTGTAAAAATTTTTTGTTTTGTTTGGATTTTTTGGTTTGGTTTGGTTAATTTTGAAAAAAGTAATATAGTTAGTTGTTAATTGGTATATTAAAATAATATTTAAAATAAAAGATTAAAATTGATTTGATGTAAAAGTAGGAGAGAGATGATTTGAAGTGATGGTTAGTTAGAATAATGTGAGTGAATGGATAGTGAATTAAGGTTCATGTGGTGTGTATGAATGATTGATTGATATTATTTAATTATAGTGATAATAATGATAATAGTGAGGTAGAGTTAAAAAAAGTGGTTGAATTAAAATGTTGAAATTTTTTTAAAAATTTTTCATAAACAAACATACTCGTAGTTTTAAAAAAAAAAAAAGTATGATGGGTCACTCCATAATGACCTGGCACCATCACACAAAAATATAGAATTGAATTAACTCTTTACTTATTATTTAATTAGTGAATTTGCAAGTTCAAAACAAATTTAATACCTGATATGAGCCAAATCCTATAAACCCAATCCTTTTATTATGCTCCATTTCTCATAATACACAACTAGTTTTATTTAAATTTTAAAAAATAATCAAGAAATGGGGACACAAGAAAACAAAGAAAATAATGTACCATCTGAAAATCACATGATAAATCGATAAAAAGATGCTTTGTCTTCTACTCNTTTTCTCCACAAATTCTTTATATATAGTTGGCCTCCTGTGTCTAATATCTCGTACTAAGTTGTAAATTGTAATCTACTACTCCCTCTATTTTGAAATATAAAGCCTATAAAGATTTCTCAATTTTTTTGAAATATAAGGCGCGCTAAAAAATCAAGATAAATTTTTGCATTTTTTTCTAAATATACCCTCATTGTGTTGAAATTAAGGAAGTGTGGAGTGATTGTGATTAGAATAAATAAGGTTAATTTAATCAATTTATTCATTAATTAATGTCTCCTTAATATTTGTGCAATAACTTTAAATGTCTTATATTTCAAAATGGAGGGAGTATTGAATTTAACTATTGCATATATATGTCACCTCTTGGACTTATTTGTTGCAATATGTTTGAAATTTTTTCATTACTCATAATTTAGTATGGGCCACAATGCACGTTCTTTCATGTCCAATTGAACGTTAAAAATCATTGATAATTGCTTTTATAATTATCATGGTCACAATTTACAATATTTGGAGCGTTTTAGGGTTGATAATATATATCTAAGGAAGCATTTTGGTAGTGTGAGAATTGTTATAAATGCAAACTTAGAAAAATTCACACTTATGATGCAAATTTCAATATACACTTAATTCGACATCCTAAAATGGATTACAAATTTATGTGTGAGTTGACCAACCGTTGGATAGGTCTATTGTTCATATTCTTTTCAATAAAAACACATTTATACTATGTATTGTCATATTTTTGGTTATTTTATTTTTCAAATCATAATATTTCAGTTTGAAATTATATATGCAAAACGTACAAAAACCATGGTAAAGAGAAAACTTTAATCACATATATACATTAATCACACTACTAAGATAGAAAACTTTAAACAAAAACCAGCCAATAAAGTCAATAATTTGAAGCAACCTAATTGCATGAAAATAATTGCCTTTTTTTGGGCTTTGTGTGAATCTTTTTTTTTGACATGATTTTCTACATATTTCAAACTTGTTACACGCTCTTGGCCCAAAAAAACTAGCTTTTTTAACTTTACAAGCAATGAAAGCTTGTCGGGTGATTTCCCTTACATGGTAAAGATTCATTCATGGACCATGGTAAAGAAGAAATATCAGCAGATTTTTATTTTTTATTTTTTACTTTAAAAGTTTCCTATTGATGAAACATGCTTTGTCACCTAAAACATGATTAATAAAGTATAATCAGTAATATTATTACTACATATATGCCTTTCATGATTTGAATATTGTGAATAAAAAAGTATTAGAAAATATTTAAATGGTCAAACATAGATGATAAATTTGTTGATAACTGAAACATTTTTCGATGTATAATAGTAGGTGCATTATATGGAACTGGTAATCAATAGTTAATAAATTAGACAAATAAAATAATGGAAAAAAATATTAGTATATATCCAAAATATACACATTTTTCGCTTTTGATACACAAATTCTCACTTAAGCAAATTAATTTGATGCTAAACGTTAGGTCTGTTAATCAGTTCTCGTCAATTCCATTAATTATTCCATTAAAAATTAACAATCAAAACTGATTAATGGAGGCAACATTGAAAAAGGTATAGTTTGGATAGCGAGGGTGATTTTTTCACAATAAATTAATAAAATGTATGTTAAATATAGAATAATAATTAGGCTAACTAATGAAAAATTGTATTTTGACTAATAACCATGCTTAACCACGAATGATATCTTGCATCCAAAGGGCACGTTTGATATAATGAAACCTTGCTATTCATGAAGACTATTCAAGAGCAATAAATTGGTTTAGCTTTGTACAAACTACTGGTAATCATCCTGTGCACATGCACAAATAAATAAAATATTATAAGTAATACGTGCAAATTTTTAAATTATAGATAATGGAAATATCACATTTTCAAGATTTGATTATTAGTAAAAATAAAATAATATAAATATTTGATCATTTATTATTTTTATTTTTTTTATTTCAGTAACTAAAATACAAAGTAGATATATTAGTTGGAGGACAAAACTTCTCTTAGTATCTTTATATTATCAAAACGTCAATTAGGACGTGTTTATATAGTATAAAAAACGGATTGTATTTAATATTGTATATGAAACCGTTACATACTAAATATTTAATAATAATAATCTTTGGTTCGTGTAACTAATTTATTGGATGTATCATAAATACTTTTATTAAATGATGTGTCTATTTTTATTAAATACTGGAAAGAATTTTATTAAATGAACTCATATTTTCATTAATTACTACTGGAATAAAATTAAATGAAGTTTGCTAGCAATTATATATATGTAGATTTTCTTAGCTTTTTTTATCTCTTGATTAACCTAATTAATCAATTGTCCAACATAAGAGAGATTATTAGGAGCTCACAACCCAATAAGAAATAAAGGGGTGTTGAAATTAATATATGATTGACTGTCATAAAAATTAAGTCACGGTGCAAAATAAGCTGCAGCCGAAAGCAGGAAGAAATCATGCATGACTTAATTAACAATATAATTATCCAATTTGAACTTAGGTTTAATTTTTGTCTCCATATTATGACTTAACCTTTAGAATACATTTATATGTTGACACAAAATATCAATTGTGTTGAATTTCAATCAACTAAGATAGTCTCAGTTCTCGAAATATACTTTTATTAATTTGTTTATTTTTATTTTTAATTATTCTGCTATGTGCTGTGTGCATTTTAGTTTTGATTGTAATTTAGTTTCTTAATTAGTTGACACTGAATGAGTGATTTCGTGCAGTTTTTTGAATGATGGTATGGTTAGAATTTGTCAATTTGGTAATCTACTGCAATGAAATTTAAATTTTAATACGTTATTATGTATTATTTATTTTGGATAGCTTTTCATATTCTCCTATCGTATAACAAAACAACTAACTTTACAAGTTCCTTCATTTTTTTTTAAATAGTGATTAGCGCGGAAATGTGGACAAGATATATGAAGGATAAAAAAAATAAATGTAATCAATCTTTGTTCAAT